TTAAAAAGGATAATGGGAATGATTCAGAAAAATGAAAAAGCAAAGCAGAGACCCATTTTATATTTGTTTTGTGTGATAAGAATGACATAGGAAAATGGAATATGTAAAGATGCAAATTTCCAAAGCTGAATGTCATTATATTGTATACCTTCAATGTACCAATAAAATTATTTTTTAAAAAATAAATAAATTATAAAAAAGGATTTCATAGTAATGTTCAATGCCAGATCAGTATTATGTTTTAGGAAATCACATATAATCCTACAAAAGTTTAAATAACATTAAAACAAAATAAATACGTTTATAGAGGAAAATGGACGTCAGTGGTTCATTTGAAAATTTGATTTGCATCTCTCTGAAAAGATGTTCAAGTTGTAACTCCTAGTACCTGCGAATGTGACTTCATTTGGAAATTGGTCTTGCAGATGTAATCAAGGTAGAGAAGGCTCGTATTAAATAGAAGTGAATCTGAATGCCACATAGCTGTGTCCTGTGAGCAGAGGAGTGGAGACACAGACACATGGGAGAGGATAGTTGTGTGTAAACAGCAGCAGAGATGTGGGCCATCCTCCCACGCGGCTGGGAAATCCTGGAGATACACAGCAGCGCAGGAAGCAAGGACTCGTCCTCTCAGAAGTTTGGGAAGAGCATGGATATCTGTGTTAGTCAGGTTTTCATCTCTGTAACTCTAATACCTAAGATAATCAATTTTTAAAAAAGAAAAATTAGCTGAGCATGGTGGTGCATGCCTATAATCCCAGTGCTGGAAAGTTTGAAACCAGCCTGGACTACATAGTGAGTTCCAGGTCAGTCTCAACTACATAGTGAGCCCCTGTCTCAAAAAAAAAAAAATAAAATAAAATAAAATAAATAAATAGTTTATTTTTTGCTCACAGTTTAGCAAATTGTAATGTTTAGATTTATTTTTCCAGAATTTGTAACCATAAAACATCCACATTTATATTAAAAAGCCTGTTTTTAAATGTCTGTTTCTAAGTAAAAATGTATTACTCAAAACTCTGAATCAGACGATCCTCCAGGCTATTTGTTCATTTTGATAGCTGTTTCCAAACCCTAAGGCAATTTTTTAATTCATAAAGCAATTAATGTTTCTTATAAATCTAATAATTATAGAAATTCTCAGGTAAGCAGCATGACTATACTAATGATTATTATAAAATTTCTTTAGTAAATTAGTAACTAATCAGAAATAATATGTTTTGTGCTTTATAACCTAACATTGCGTATAGATAATATAAGAAATTAAATATCAAAAAAAAGAACAGCTGGGCATGGTGGCACACACCTATAATCCCAGCACTGAGGAGGCTGAGGCAGGAGGATTGCTGTGAGTTCAAGACGAGCCTGGGGGCTACATGGTGAGTTCCAGGGCAGTCTGAACTGCATAGTGAGACCCTGTTTCTAAAAACAAAAACAAAAAACAAAAAAACCCCAAAACAACAGCAAAGAGAAATGGTTGATTTCTTGAAGATATATGCTACTATTAACTCTTCAGAAAGCTGAATTTAGGGAATATTTACAATTAAGCTTTTATACAATATCAATTTTGAATGCATTTTAATTTATTTTTTCAAAATAAAGACAGCAAAATTTTTACATAGCCTTGCTGAATTCACATATTCAAATAAGGCTTTATCAATAATAATGGAGGTTAATACAGAGCTAGCATTTGGCATTTAACTTTACATCAAAGGAACTAATTGCCCTATGAATTACAGGAAAAAAAATGATACTCTATTTTGCTCCTTTTAAAAATTAAAAGAAAAAAGCTTTAGTAAATTTTGGCATGTATATATAATTCCTCCAAGTTTTACATTTGGTGAAATAAAGATACCAATAGTAACTGAGTTAACATTAACAGCAATCTTCAAAAAATGATTCTGAAGATAGACAAAGTAAGTTTTTATTGTAGACAATTACTTGAACTGCATATTTAGCTCTAGGTATAATAAATCATGTGGGGAAAACATCCACAATAGAGTTAAGTTTCCAGTATCTAGTGTTTATTTCTTTGAATCATTTATTCATTTATTTATTTATTTTAGCAATGACGTGAACAGGATTTCGCCAGGGCTTTCTTGGAGTTACTTGTAGTTTCCGAACTGAACGGCAGAACGCACATAGACACATCGGAAAGTGGTTGGCTGGATCTCCCAGTACTGGACTGGATTGCTGAAGAGACTCACACGTGAATAAGAAACTTTCTTGGTGTTGTATCCAGATGGGCAAAAATCATTTGGGCCGATTTCAGAGATATTATTGTTGTGAAGGTAGACGACCTGCGCCACAAAACAAGGGAGAATGATTCCTTTCTCCTAAATTGATAGCTTTTGAGTAAATATTCTTTTCAGACTTTGAATTCTGTATTTGGGATACTTTAACACTTCTCAAACCAAAGTTTTGATTTCTCTCTTTTCCAAACTTGCTTTTCTCTTCTCTAGTCATTTTCAGCTTAGTACATTGGATGGCAATCACTCTAGCCACTCAGGTTATAGAACTTATGATACCCAAGTCGTCTCTTACATCCTGAGATACAAGATCATCAAATCCTGCTAACTTAACCTTCAAAATGTGCACATAATCCAACTCTTATCTCCATTCTTACTCCAACAACATCATCTGAGCCGCTGGTTTTACTTTCTCTTTTATTCAAATAGTCCTGACTGTTCTTCCTGCTTTCACCTCTGTCTTTCCAAATCTTATTGTTTTGATTAAGAGATCTTTCAAAAAGTAAACCAAGTTGTATCTTCTTTGCCCTGATGTTACAGTGGTTTTCTTTATCAAGTATGAATAACTCAAGTTCTCACCACTGCCCACAAATCCTACATGCTCTGACATCGTCCTCTGAATCCACCTCATTTGTATTGTTCTATCTAACCTTTTGATTACTTGCTGATCTTTAAATACACAAACAAGGCCCCTCTGGAGGATGTGACACCTGGATTTCCTCCACCTGGAATAATCTCCAATATAACCGCAAGTCATGCTGCTTTTTGTAACTAATGTCTCATTACCAGAGAGATTTGCCCTGATCACTACAATCTAACATTCCCTATTCCAATTACATTTGTTTATTGTTTTCATAGCAGTTGTCACCATGTCACATATTATGTTTTTATTTACTTTTTTCAACTTTTTTTCTACAATTTCATGGGGCTCTATAACCCCATGGCCCAAGAGCCTCTTTTGTTTAAAATCAATCAATCAATAAAATAAACCATGTTAAAAGAATAAAAGAAAGAGTCAAATGATGATAGAAATAGAAAAAGCTATGATTAAATTAAACAATATTCATGATAAAAATTTTTGATAAATAGGAAGGATAATAAGAGGGAGTTTCCACAGCTTAATAAAAAGTCTGCACAGAAATACCTAACATCATAATTAATGGTAAAAAGTAAATACCCCTTCTAAATTAGTAATTAAGACAAAGTTAGACAAGAAAAGAAAAACTTAGACAAGTTTTTCCCTTGTATTAAACTGTCCAAGGAAGAATATACTCAATATAGCCGGGTGTGGTGGCACACACCTGTAATTCCAGCACTCAGGAGGCTGAGGCAGGAGGATCACTGTGAGTTCAAGACCAGCCTGGGCTACATAGTGAGTTCCAGGTCAGGCTCAATTACATAGTGAGACCTTTTCTCAAAAAAAAAAAACAAACAAAACAAAAGAAGAATATACTCAATAAATGAAGACCAAAATGAAGAGGAAAAAAAAAAGCTTAAAGGAATCCAGATTAAAAATAACTAAAACATTTTTATATCTGAAATGACATAAATTTAACTAGAGAATATTCAAAAAATGCACAAAAATGAATAGAAGTAAAAACGAGTTCAGCATACTATGAGGACAGAGTATCAATAAATGAGCAACAATTGTATCTCTATATATAACAACAAAAACTAAAATTAGTAACAGTTCATTCAAAACAAAATTGAAGAGTGAAAGACTTTAATATGTACTTCAGTAAATTGCAACACTTTTATGAAAACGTGAAAAAATATCATTGAAATGATTAAACATATATCAATAAATATTTCATGTTTCTGAATTTAGAAACAATTTTATCCATCTAAGCATTTAACACAATCCCTTCTCAAGTCCTGGAAGGACCTGTTCTCAGAAATGTGCAACCTGACCTTAAACTTCAAAGCACGCAAATGAATCAGTGCAAAACATGCCAAACAATGATTGAAATAGAACAGATGTGGAGAACCTGAACTTCCCAGTTTCAAAAATCAGCGCAACCCATTTCCCTTCCTTATGAATATGTGCTTATTTCTTCCTATTTTCTCTGTGCCTTAGGCTCCTTTTTTGCCCTTTAGGCCTCTCACGTAAGAGAAGAAGTACAATGCTTAAACTTGTCTGTTTGATTCATTTCACTTAAAATTATGGTCTCAAAGGAAGAGAAAAAGAAAAAAAGAAAGGGAGAATGAAAGAAAAAAATGGAGAAAAGCTTGTGTGAGTAGTGAGATGAAGAAGGGTTGAAAGGAAGGGGGAAGGGGAATAAAAATATATTATGGATTGGTACAAAATCCCTATGATGAATGTGATCAATAGGTATGATAAATATACACTAATAAAAAGTGAAGTTAATAAATGTTTAACAATCAATGCAAACTACAATATTCAAAAGTGTACTATTGGTATAAGGATAGATAAAGATAAATAGAATTGATAACATAGAAATAAACCTTCACATTTATGTCTAATTGACTTTCAACAAAAGTGTGAAGCTATTATTTAAAGCATAGCCTTTATAACAAATGTCTTTAGGACAGCTGATTATGCACATGCAAAAACACATTAGCTTCTTGCATCCTATACTAAGTCAAAACTAGATATAAATGTAAATATAGAAGTAAATATTATAAAATAAAAGTTACATTTTCTGAGATTCAACACCAATATGATCCCAGAACACAAATAAATACGACAAACTCTACTAATAATTCCTTGTTGCTGGAGATGAGATTGAGAATTGACGGATAACCATTTAAGGGGAATATTTGGGATAAATAAAAATGTTATCAAAGAAGACTGTGACAATGGTTGAATGAAAATGTCATTGTCACTAAAAATCTTTGAGAAGGTAGTAGGTAACATATGCACGATCTTGTAGGAAGAAAGTTAAAACTCAGGAATAGTTAAACAATTAGAGATAGAAAACCCACCATGAGCCCTTTCAAAATACCCGGCATTATGCAAATACCCATGAGATTTTCTCGTATTTAAGAGGCTCCGTTATTGTCTAGGTTAAGAATGTCCTCCAAAGGCCTCATGAGCCTATGGGCAGGGTTTTTGGAAGGCAACTGAATTTTGGAGCTATACAGTTGAGTTTTCAGGAAGTAGATCTGGACTGAAGAGGTGGGTTACTAGCGATGTCACATGAGGGGATGTAGCAGCTCCCTTTGCCCTTTTTACTTCTGTCTCTCTGCTTCTTACCATGACATGAGCACTTTTCTCCACCCATGCCCTTCAGTCATGTCATTTCTATGTAAAGCCTGCCAAATATGGACGGGTTCATCTTTAATACTCCTTACTAACTCATTATAATGATTCTATGAACTTCATATATATATACTGATATCTGAGAAACAGAATCAAGGAGGTGAAAACTATCATTCAAGAATGTAAAATCCTAAACAAAGATAAACAAACAAAAATTCAACAGCAACAAAAACCTTTCTAGTAAAAACAATACCTGGTATTAAATCTTCTAAACATCTGGAATTTTAAAACTACCTGCACATTATTCTCCCACCACCACCAAAGTCTCTGCTAAAACAGAGCCAGAATTCAAGAAAATATTTTAAGATTCTTGAAATTCTAGTTAGTGTAAATTGTGATGAATCATTTTAACTGAAAATTTTTGACACAATTCAACAACAACAAAGCATTAGTATTTACTACTTTGTTGACAGCACAGTAAAAGATAAACTCATCTTGAAACTCAAGGAAAATTTAGCTACTACATTACCAAAATGACAATTTTATAAAATGATTTTTATCTCTAAAAACTTTTAAATATGTTGTTTCTTAATCACATGTATAGAGATATATAAATTTCTGAAACAAATTTTAAGTATTTCTTTTAAAAAGCTGAAAGTTCGATAATATAGGAAGCTATGTATGATCTATTCAGTTATGCTATTAATTTTATAAGAAGAATCATTTGAATAACAGTTGCTCAAAGTAACAATGGTAATCTTTTATTATTTAACTGGAAATTATTATCACAATGTAAACTAATAATCATTCACTTCATTTGTTCATTTTAGGCTGCAAACCATTATTACTACAATGGGCCACTGGCCACTATCTTCCTATTCTTATTGATTCCTATAATGTGATAATTGATACCAATTCAGCCATGACAGCTGAACATTCTCTTTTGAGCAATCTGATATCTGTTAAAGTTAAAAGTTAAGACGAGTATCTTATTCTATAGCAATGCATCACAAATTACTTCATTTTTAGCAACAGAGATTTATTACGTTGATCTATGATTTGTAGCTGTTCTGCCGCATAAATGTTTTTGGCAGCAAACGATTCAGTACTGATTTTAAAAGTTAAATAAGTGTTATTTCGTAAAACCAGAACAAATTTATGTCAAAATAGTAAAAATTATTTCTGAGCAATAAAGTTTGAACTTTCTCAAAACATATATACTGGGTCTCTAAATCCAGTATTCTGGTATGAGGAGGTGGGACCTTCGGAGGCAATTAGGGAGGAACCTTCTACAACAATGTTCATGCTTTCTCTAAGGAAAAGCCAGAGAGCTAGCTAACTCTGTGCTAGGTGAAGACAAAATATCATGCTTGTAGCTATACCCTGGAAGACAGTGCTCATCAGAACTTGACCAGACTGGCACCTTGATCTCAGATTTCTAGAACTGCTTAAGCCAATCAACCACTTCTTGCTATTTTATTATAGCAGTTTAGATGATTCTAGTACTGCAAACTTCTTAACAAGCACAGCCTCTTGTCTCCTGGCATCGTGGTAGAGATTGTCTACTCTTTAAATATTTCTCACAAGTAATGTCGTTGCATTACCTGGACATACTTGAGCTCCGCTAGCCCACCAGGGATCTTGACAAGCTTGTTGTTGTCCAAGTAAAGCTCCCTCAGGTGAGGGATGTTGGCCAGAGAACCATTTTCAACAATAGCGATGCTGTTAAAACTCAGTCCCAACCTGCAACAGCAAGCAGAAATGAAGGCCTATACCACACAACAACCTTTTTTTTTTTAATGATTTTGTGTGATTAAGCAAGTGGATACACAAGGACATTTGCACATACTATTCTATCTGCTTAGAAAACTTTCCCCAACATCTCTGCAGTATTAACGTAGTATTTGGCATACTCAATCCCTAGCTTCTGAACTGATCTTTATGTGTAAGGAATATAGTAAATTAATCTGAGATAGAACTTAAAAAAAAAAGCAGCAGTGTCAGTTCAGTTACTTTGGAAATTAAGCAGCTGTGTACTTCTCAACTTATTTGTACAAAATAAAAGTTGTGATAGCTTATAAAGTCACTTAACCTGCTTTTTAGAAAGGTTAACAAAAGTAGCATATTGCATTAGCGTTAGTTCCTTGGTAGTGACCTGATAGTCACTCAGAAGCTCTGTTTCTGGCCCAGACGTCTGATTTGGTTCTTTATCTCTGTCCGTTTCTCATCACACTCACACAGGGTCTTCAGGTTTAATCAACTCAAACTTTTGTCCCATATTTTTTAATTGAACTGCATAACATCTTAGGGGTCTTGACGCTTCCAGGGTCAGGGGAAGTAGACTTCCATTCAGGATTAGTCCAGTGACGATGAAACATTCAAGAATAGAGTGATTTCGATCCAAGAGGCAGAGTGGAGTAACAGATATGAGGTAATCAAATAATGAAAAAGAGACTACAGAGCTCAAAGGAGAGAAAGTGGAGGACTTTATCAGATTCTTTCAAATGCTGAAAAAGAGATTTGAATGCTTTCTACCCTGAAGTTTCTCCTAGTCTTCAATTAATCCTGATCTTTGTGCCTTCTTGGAATTTAAATGCTGATCTAAGCAAATTTTCTTAGTTTCAATTGTGAAAATAATTGATTTGAAATGAGGGAGATCAATGTTTATTGCTTTTATGGCATAAATAGCACAACTGGATTATTTTAACGATTGATTATTAATCTGGCATCTTGACACAGAAATTTTTATTTTACCCACAATCTTAAACATTCATGCCATGTTCTGGTGTTTACTTTTCTATTTCAGAATGGTGTCTTCTACACATTACAGCACTCTAAATCACAATATTCCATTGGGGCCAGGTATATTTATTAAAATATAACATTTCTAATGTGCTATAAAAGGAATTGTTCATTTTTAACCACATATTTATAAGATGAATTTAAAAGTTTTGGGAATATAATATATATATGATATATGTAATATTACTTTGGGCATTGAAATGGGCAGTGGTCACATAGCTCAGAAACCATGACCTTTGCATAGATGTATTTATTTAGCATGCAAACATTGCATTTTATACTGCTGAAGTGATGTGCATGCTATTTTCTCCCAATCTGTTTATAAAAGTAAATTGGAGTAGTTGCCCTAACACTGACATCAGTGGCTGCTTCATCTTTTCTTTACTTTTCTTTTCTTAGCACACTGCCACAAAAAGTGCATTCTACATTAAAAACAGTAGTGAGAATAACTCTGGAAGGACCACTTCTTAGCACCTGAGACTCACAAATGACAGTGCAGCTACAGTCACCTGTGCACACCCCTCTGGAACCTTCACTATCCGCTGTGTCACTGAGGCACTGAGCTGGGATGTCACCCTGTATGCAGGGTGTCACTGTTTCTCAAATACACAAGGATGTACTTTATGTTTATTTATCTTTCACAAAATTTACAGATAAAAACAGGAGTCAAATTTGGCATCCCATAGCGTAGGAGCGTTCAGTGTAATAATGTACAGCAATATACACATAATCGAGAACAGCGCATTCTTTGAACTGAAAAATTTTTCTATCATTCTGCTGTTTTTGTTACTTAACCAGACCTCAAATACATAGAAGTTGCTGTTAGACCAGAAAGCAGACAGCTGTTATTATTTCTAAAAAAGAAGGATCACACACACACACAAAATTATGTTAGGGTACAATAAATGTGCATATATCTTATTTTAAAGCAGAAGTGCTTTGAGAATTTCTGCACATTTATTCTAATGGTAAATTATTATCTGTTTTTTTTTTCTTGGTGCTGGAAATCAAACTCAGGACCTTACGCTGGCCAGGCAGGTGGGGACTGCGTCACTGCGCTCCATCCCTGGACTTTTTTATCTTGTTTGTTTCTAATGTTAATTTTGGGGATGGCCAACGTTTATATATTCTGGTGGTCTCCCTTTTAAAGTATTTTCAAATTTGAGACACTGTGGTATAATTTTTCCAATGGTCTGTTTGATGCTACTAAATGAGATTATATTAAATCAACATAGTCACTTAAAATCTGATTTGGTCAATAACCTTGCACTTCTTATTACTTATAGTAGCTATGCTCTTTCACTGACTTTTCTTTCCAAGAAATCATTAAATAAATTGATGGTGAGAGTTGTTATAACAATAATGGCTGCTGAAAGAAAATCATGTTTTTAATTGTGAGAATGTAGGTGCTAAGATTCCCAGCTACTGTTCTGACAAAAAATAATGAAAGAATATCATTACTTAGCCAAATTAGTCAATCCTTTCAGGGTAGATGCATCGACTTTGCTGATTTTATTTCCATCGAGATGTAATTCAGTAAGAGAAAAAGGGAGACCTGAAATATGGAAATACAAAATGCTGTATGAGCAAACAAGCATTATATCCACAGAATGCAGAAAGAATTTATGAGAACATATGCCATCAATTTTCTCAAAGACGTAGAGCTTCAAAGAATCATTTTCTAATTTTTCATCATTTCTTTTATAGTAATATATGCATTTAAAAGTAAATAATGAACTATTTTCACTATGTAGCAGATTTTTGTGTTAGCAGTGATAAAACTGCATCTCATTATTAATTTCCACTGTTACTAATGAGCTAATACTGCCCTGATAAGAGATTTATGCTATAAAGTGGTAGAAAATGAGCACATAAATGCCATAAAATGATTATGTATATAAGTTAAAACCATTGTGCTAACTCAAATGGGCATTTTGTTAGTGAGAATCATGAATAACTAACACTAAAGCACTCAGCTGCTGGCCTTAGACTAATCCGCTTTAAAAAAACAATCATCAAACATATCAGTTACTTGGCTGAAGAAAGATCTCAAGCTTAGTTGGACCTAAACAATTCTGTGTCTTTATAAAGAAGAGACCTGTGTGCCCTATAATCAAGAGATTGGCCATATGCAGAGCACCTGGGGAAAGAGTTTGAAATACAACACCCGCTAAAATTCTGGATAGTGCTTCTTAAATAGCTGTGATTTCTGATGACTTAGTAAAATAAATGTAAAAGTCAAACATTTTATTTTCATTTTTTTCTCCCATCTGAGGATGTATTATAGTTTCATATAGCTGTTCAGATAGTGCATTGTTCCACTTTAAAGAACTACAAAGAAAACAGAAAGGGGCTAAAAGTGTAGGGGAAGTGGAAAGGGTAGGGGAAAGGAAATAAGGGAAAAGAAAAAAATAAGAAAATGGAAAAATGGAAATAAAGTATTTGTAAATGGGTTTCTGACAAAAAATAATGAAAGAATATCATTACTTAGCCAAATTAGTCAATCCTTTCAGGGTAGATGCATCGACTTTGCTGATTTTATTTCCATCGAGATGTAATTCAGTAAGAGAAAAAGGGAGACCTGAAATATGGAAATACAAAATGCTGTATGAGCAAACAAGCATTATATCCACAGAATGCAGAAAGAATTTATGAGAACATATGCCATCAATTTTCTCAAAGACGTAGAGCTTCAAAGAATCATTTTCTAATTTTTCATCATTTCTTTTATAGTAATATATGCATTTAAAAGTAAATAATGAACTATTTTCACTATGTAGCAGATTTTTGTGTTAGCAGTGATAAAACTGCATCTCATTATTAATTTCCACTGTTACTAATGAGCTAATACTGCCCTGATAAGAGATTTATGCTATAAAGTGGTAGAAAATGAGCACATAAATGCCATAAAATGATTATGTATATAAGTTAAAACCATTGTGCTAACTCAAATGGGCATTTTGTTAGTGAGAATCATGAATAACTAACACTAAAGCACTCAGCTGCTGGCCTTAGACTAATCCGCTTTAAAAAAACAATCATCAAACATATCAGTTACTTGGCTGAAGAAAGATCTCAAGCTTAGTTGGACCTAAACAATTCTGTGTCTTTATAAAGAAGAGACCTGTGTGCCCTATAATCAAGAGATTGGCCATATGCAGAGCACCTGGGGAAAGAGTTTGAAATACAACACCCGCTAAAATTCTGGATAGTGCTTCTTAAATAGCTGTGATTTCTGATGACTTAGTAAAATAAATGTAAAAGTCAAACATTTTATTTTCATTTTTTTCTCCCATCTGAGGATGTATTATAGTTTCATATAGCTGTTCAGATAGTGCATTGTTCCACTTTAAAGAACTACAAAGAAAACAGAAAGGGGCTAAAAGTGTAGGGGAAGTGGAAAGGGTAGGGGAAAGGAAATAAGGGAAAAGAAAAAAATAAGAAAATGGAAAAATGGAAATAAAGTATTTGTAAATGGGGGGGGTGAAGGGAGGACAGGGGTAAGGGGAAAAAATGAGAACCAAGACCTGTCACGTAAAGGTACAAGATCCCAATGATGAATGTAACTGTACTGTACACCTAAAACGTACCAATAAACTCAACGAGAAAAAAAATAGTATTCAAATATGTGTACAACTAAAATCTGATTGGCAGAAAGTTTTATTTGTCTATAAAATACAGAATTGAAAAACTAAGATCACATTTTATGTGAAATAGTCATTATATCTCACTGAATTATGCTAATTTTACTGGAAAATTTTGTTTATTTTTAAAATTGCAATTATGGTTGTAGGTTTTTTGTATAAAATGTTACATAATAAACTATTTATTAAATGTGTACTATGTACAAAACACTCTTAGCTCTTTTTGTAATCAATTCCACTGATTCCTTCAATGATTAAATTATTGATAACTCCTGTCATAGGTAAGGAAAAAGCAATTCAAAGCTACACATTTTACAGGTTATCTATACCTTAAATAAGGAATGTACTGTGTTCCCAGATGGCCTAAGGAAGTTAAAATATCATGTTCTTAACTGAAGGAAAATAAATAACAATTTCATTTTTTTCTTATGAATAAATATTAAGAAACCAAAACCACGTGGGGAACAAATTATTTCAACCACTGTATTCTCCTTATAATAGATGAATATGAATCTTTAAATACTCCTATTTTGAATCATAGGTGTATATATAACAGAGTATATTGCGTGTACATTCTCTCTTCCCTATTTTCAAAGAAAAAATTTAAAAGCACCACCTCTAACATACCAGTTATGACTACAGGTAGCAGTATTTACTAGTTTCTAAGTGTCTCCCTTATGAAGTGTCAGTTTCCCAAAAGTGAAGTTACAACTAGGAGAAACTTTCCCTGTGGAATAATACTTTCTCAGTTCAGTGGGATCAAGAAAGACAATCACCAATAGTTTCGTTATCCTAACCCACTCCAGTATTTGGCTAAAGAAACTATTCTCTCCTTACCTTTGTGCATTCTTTCCTCTCCTTTTCCTTTTTTAGAGATGGAATACATGCGAATTGCTTTAATATAGGCAGCATGCATATAATGTGACCCTTACTTAAATCTAACGATCCTCACAGTAATTTTAGAATTAGGTGTTATTTCTACCTCCATTTTGCAATAAACAAAAGTGATGGTTTAAAGGTGTGAATGCTTCATCTAAAGTCAAAGAACAGCTCAATGACTAAGTCATACCTTTCACTAAGTTGCTGTAATTAAAAAACTATGATTTGTGGTCTCTGCACTGCATTATTCCCTTTCCATCCTCCTAGGTGATGGAAGAGAATGTGACCAAGGGGAGGGTGATGTGCCGAGCCCCAGCTTCAGTTACTCATTTATTCGATAAGCAAAAATAGAGGAAGAAAGACTTTACACGAGGTCCAAACTCAGCCATGTGCAGTCTCGCTCTGCCGCTTCCTACTTCCTGTAACTTTTGTCACAAATTGCTGCACCTCACTAAGCAGCATTTTGATCATTTTGAGGAGGAGGATACTACTATACGAGGGGGTGTTGAAGCCATGAAAAGTATTTTATAGGATACTTGGCACAAAGCAAGCGTTTCATAAATTGTAGTTACAGCAGTGTTTGTGTTCTTAAGAGGAAGTAAATAAGAAACAAGCCAGTAGTAATGAGAAAGGAGTGTCCAGGACACGAAGAAGACATAACAAAGTTAAAGAAACAGACCGCGGAGCGATAAAATGTTTACCTGACGGATAGTTCGAAGATGTATTACAAAGGATAGGAAAGTCAAACCTTTTTATGTGCATGTGTGATTGCACACAGATACATATACATGCATATTACTTCACATGTACACAGAGATTATATCTACATAGGTACTTTGTGCATGTACGTCTGTGTGTGTGTGTGTGTGTGTGTGTGTGTGTGTGTGTGTAGATTTATAGTCTTGTCCTTCAGAATCTATAAAGGATGGGTTCAAGCCCTCTCAAATCCTGAAATGTGTCAATGATCAGGTCCATTATTTAGTGTGGCAGTTTCATATCACCCACATGCATCCTCATGTATTTTTAGTTATCTCTAGATTATCTGGAATATCTGATATGAAGGGATGGCATATAGAAAGTAGTTATGATGTACTATTTAGAGAAGGACTCAATACTGATGCAATTTATTTCAAACATTTTTGATCCATGGTTGGTTGAATCTGTGGCAATGGAGGGAAGATCTATCTATCTATCTATCTATCTATCTATCTATCTATCTGTAAAATAATACATATTTATTAAATATATTATATATAAAGTTTATGTAAATATATTATATAAAATATAATTAAAAGATTTAAGCTTATTTGTTATATACAACAAAATGACTCATAACGAAGATTTTTTAAAACTCTAAGTCAATATCTATTAATCTAGCCATCCAGTTATAATCTGTCTATTCCTGTATTTATTTTTACAGGACCAGAAGATTTCTTCACACCTAAAGGTACTGATAAAGGTTAGAGCCAGTAAGAAAGCATTCAATGGAACATGTGCTCTCAGGAGTTGAGATTTCTGTAATATCACAGTAAAGGAAAACAGATGTTTTCTGCAGATAAGTATATGCATCTAGCATTCAGTCCTAGAACCGGGAGTCTGAGCTGAGGAAGGGACAGACTCAGGAGAAAGCTCAAGAATATAGAGGAGCTTTTTTGAGACTAAAAACATGAAGCAGAGATAAAGTGCAAGATACAGGTACTTTTCTGTGGCTAGGGCCTTTTCTGACTCACCAAGGCTGCCTCAGGTGCCTCTCTTGGGCATCTACCAGCACTGAGACTGAATGGTGACTGCCTTCCCCTTCAAGCTTTGTTCCTAACAGCAGGTGAGATTTCCATTCATGTTTTGTATCAAGCGTTCAGTACATTGTCTAAGCCTAGTGAGCGTTCAAAACATTTTAACTAATAATATAAAGAAATATTAATCCCTATTATCTATATGTCAGATATTCTTCTTATGAGCGATTTAATTTTATAGCAATCCAGTGAGGTAAATATTATTTTCACTTTGCTGATAAAGAAATTGAGGAAGAAGGACCTTGGCTTTAATTATTAACAACTTGAACTCAAGCACAATTGACTTCAAAATCTATCACCTTAAAATCCACAGCTGTCACTATTTAAGAGGAGTAAGTTGATCCTCATTCAAACATTAGTGACTGAAATGTCCTAAAATGGAAAAGGATCCTTTAAGAGAAAGGAAATTTAACAGAAAAATGGCTGAATTTCAGAAGTACTTCCATTTTTTTCTTTGACACAGAACCAAATTGATCTTTTAAAAATAGCTATAATTTTTTCTTTGTGATATGGCCCTTAATATAAAATCACTGTGCATATAGCTACATCTTAGAAGGAAATTCACAAGGCGTCTGTTGATCTTTTCAGTGACGCGAGATGGCCAGACGATTAACTAGGCTCAATCCGAACATTGCCAGGTACGGAGAATTTACTAGTAATAAGACAGTCCACTTGGGTCACAATTTAATATTCAACAACCATTTCAAAATATGTCAAAACCACTGAACTTAGATCTTTTGAAATGTTTTGGAGAAAGTTCTGTCACCTTGAGGGATGGAGGTTATGTTGGTGTCAGCAATGCGGATGTAGGAGAGCCTCCTCATTCCCTGGAAGGCTCCGTTTTCAATCCCGGAGCTCTTCAGGGGGTTGGTTCCCAGTTCTACAAAGAATTTTAGAGAAGAGTTTAGGAACTTATGAATCAGGAAGGTGTCCATTTCAATAAGGATTCTAGAAAGAACTTTGGATCAATAACATCGGGACTGAAAAAATGCAAGAGATTGAAAAGCATGATCCTCAGAACTGCAAAAGAAAAATGAGAAAAATAAAAAAGCAAAGAGTTATGAAAAAAATGGTATCATTTTAGGATTTCAGAGAAACTGCTTAAAGAAAATACTGCTGTTTCAAAATAAAAAGTATGACTGGGGATGCAGCTCAGAGTGAAGACCCTGGGTTCAATTCCCACTACAAATTAAAAAGCAAGTGCTTGTAAGTCATATCTATGCCACTACTTACCTAAAATACTTGGAAATGCTATTAAAGAATTTGAATAGAGCACTTTGAAAGTCAAATATTCAAATATAAAATTGTATTTTTATCACAATATAACAAAACTTTATATATATTGTTGTTTGTTTGTTTTTGGTACAGGGGATCAAACTCGGATCTTGCACTTGCAAGGCAATCGGCACAACCACTGAGGTAAATCCCTGGCCCCCTTTCTTTCTTTTTTTGGGGGGAGTACCAGGGATTGAATTTAGGTCCTTGTACTTGAGAGGCAGGCAGTAGCACCACTGAGCTAAATCCCAGGCCCTCTTTATACATTTTTTAAAGCCAAGGGTTTGTGTGTTTTCAGAACACACACACACACACAAACCCCAACTGTGAACAAGGATCCCAAAATATCTCTCATTAAGCACTACTTGAATCTACCCTCCTTATGGGGCATCTGGTAGGGTAACTTCAGTCCTCCAGCCTTCTCCATGTTCAAAGATCCTCTAGGTTTAGGAATAAAAATATCCTTGTAAGATGAGTTGGATCTCCCATTTCTCCTGGCCCTGTTACTACAACTCATGCAGGGTCGGGATACACAGACTTCAACTGGTTCACATTCCTGCAGCCAAAGCTTACTTGAAGTATCTGAATTTGTCTTGAGTCTTGGCCTTGTCAAATAATAAGAACATATGTACCTATGACGATCATCTGATTCAGTCCATTGAACACAGACTTTCGCACTTTGGTGATCTCGTTCTCATGGGCACGAAGTTCCTGAAGAGTTTTGGGCATCTTTTCTGGCAATTCCTTCAGATGATTCTTGGACAGATAAAGTCTTTCCAATTTCACCAAAGGTGCAAAAGCTCCAGGGCTGATTTTGCTAATTTTATTGTTGACAAGGATCAATGCCTGTAGGAAGTAAATAAGCAAACATACATTTTCTTTTAGAAATCTAAAATCTTCTGAAAGCATCTTCATAAATGTACATATACAAATGTCTATATATATATATATATATATATATATGCATATATATGAGAGAGAGAGAGAGAGAGCAAATGTGAATTCATTCTATTCAAGGAACCAGCAGAAAAAAATCGGGAAAATTCCAATAGATAAAAAAGAAGTAAGCAAATGTGATTCATTTCCTTTGCACATCTGGAATGTGTATATACTTTTAAAAAATTAATACTACTAAAGTTTGAATAACTAGTGACCCAGGATACCTACAAAGTGTCACACATACCCATTTTCCAGTTAGCTCTTCAACCTAAAGGTCCATCTTCATCGATGACTTTCACAGACTCCTCTACAGAAATGGGCAGGGCTAAGGATCACTGTCACCGGCAATGCAGGACATAAAATGTAGCCTCACAAAAAGTTATATCTTTTGTATAACTATGTAGTTTATTTTAACTGTGTTCTAGCTTATTGCTTTACTTTGGATGTCCTTGTCAGTTAAATGATGAAACTATCTTTTGTTTTCTTACAATTTATTTCCTTTTTTTAGAAGTTATTCAATAACAAATCTCCCTTCTCTCTCTCTCTCTCTCTTTCTCTCTGTCTCTCTCTCTCTCTCTCTCTCTCTCTCTCCCTCTCTCCTGCCCCCTCTCTCTGTGTCTCACTCTGTCTCTCCCTTTCTGTCTCTGACACAGGGTTGAGAAAAGGTTTCATTAAGTATTTTAAACTGGCCTTGAACTCATGATCTTCCTTCTCAGTTTTCCAAGTGCTATGATTATAGGAATTTACCACCAAGCCCAGTGTACTTCTCATTTTATTAAATTTTAATATATTTTAATATCTGGTCCATAAAATGTAATGAGTATGATATAAAGAAACTTAACTATATTTTCTTTGGGTTTCATCTGCCTTTTTTATAATGAAAAGTTTTACATGACAAACATGTTAATATTTTTAGTAAGTTTTTCATTTTTGTTTGTGCATTTCCTAATGTGATAAATTGGCTTTAATTCATTACTATTATAGCTATAGATATTGCTAAATGCACTTATGAAGCTCTTTATTCCATTCCAATGATCCATATGTTCTAGAAATTACATTGTTTTCAGCTATTTTATCAGTTATCTTTAAGGATCTTTGTATAATTTTATCAAGACTTTCAATTTTAGTCCACTTCTTTACATATATAAGAAAGTAGAGGTGAGAAAAGGAATTGAATTCATAGGATATGTGGCTTCATCACAGATTCACAAATACAAGCATATTTTCTGAAGGTAATAAGGGATTAATCGATATATATATCCTCATGGAGTCCATTTAATGCATTAAAACATCTAATTATGAGTAACAATCTTTTAACAAATCCAAAATTAGGCATTGTTGGATTAATCTAAAATTGTAAGAGATTCCAATAAATATTACAGAAAAAAAAAACATTGGGGTTTAAGAAAATGGATAATAACAAGCAAAAACATCAGAGAAACTACTGAAAACCAGAATACTGGAGAGTAACTTGCATCGGGTAGCTTGCTACACACACCAAATGGTAGCAGAGAGTCTCACTTCTCATTCCCGGAACAAAATTTTGAGAGCTTGGTACACTTGAATATGTGAAACATGGCCTGAAAAAATCTGTTTGAGTTTTTGTTTTCTGGAGAGATGTTGAACGCTTACTTTTAACATGTACATTTCTCTCCAAAGCCTTTTATGTGGGGGTCATACTCCACTAGGTATTATTTTTTAAGTCACACATGTATAGGCGATTATCAGTACAAATGTCTGGTCCTGAGTGGCTACATTCAAAGTCTGGCTCTCAGCTCCTGTGTGATTTTTAGCATCTAACCTCTCTGTTCCTACATTTACTCATCCCTCTAAAGGAGATATTGAGTGTTTCTCTGTACTGCACAAAAATAGTACTAATTCTAAGGGTCAAACAAATTATTGTATCTAAAGTACTAAGAACAGTGCCTAGTATATAGGAACTGCTCAACAATTATTTGCTATTATTTAGTTGTTGGCAATTTTTGTTAACTTTTACTTTGAAAAAATCCTTCTTACCTAGATTTATTAAACTTTATTTGAAAAAGAAAAAATGTTGAATATCAGTATTGTCATGCTTCCTTTTCAATTATATTATAAATAATTATATATTTTCTTACTCATTATAAATTTAAGTCTACTCCTATGCAACTGCTCCCACACAGCCGTGACGTTGTAAATTAGTAAAATTATTGGAGAATAAAGAAATCTTGTTTTTGCTGTTAAATCCATTTTAATCCTTTCTACATTTTCATTTCTTCGTCCTTCTCACTCAAGTGCAGCTCTCCCAGCTGAAATCATGGTGCTTGCATAATAACAAGGATGGAAATGATCACAAATGCAAGCGTAGGAGGAAAATACTTATTTCATCCTCTGCCTGGTCAGAAGCTCTAATAAACTCTTCTTCCGGTGGACGCTTTGAGGTTGAAACAAAGGAATTATGAAAGGATGGCCCAGGAGTGCACGCAGAAGTGGACTTGGGGAAAGAAGACCACATTAGTACCAATACCGGATGTAAAGAGAACGATACAGAAACCAGATGTGACTTACTTAAGGGTACAGGAGTTTTAAAGGAGTATTCAAAGTGTACTTAAGCACACAGGAAGTTGAGATTGTTATAAGAATTTTCCTCCCTCATAGCTCTAGGGTAGATTTGTGCAAGTAAAAGGCTTTGTAAAATATTTACTCAGGGCTGGAGATTTAGCTCAGCGGTTCGGTGGCCTGCCTTGCAAGCGCAAGGACCTGAGTTCAATCCCCGGTACCAAAAAAAAAAAAAAAGAAAAAAATTACTGAAATTAATAATGCTCCTTCTTTATTGTCGCCTGTCTAAAGTGTTGCAGTGACAGTTTAGGTGATCACTGGCAGATCTCTCTGGTTTCACTATCAGCTCACCCTGGGGCATCCTTAGGAAGAAAGCAGAGGAGGTAAGGAGCCCAGCGTCCACTGACAGTGGCCATGGCTCCCTTGTTCCCCTTTAGCTTCTCTCACACAGGCAATGTTTGGAGCCTGCATTTTTCCTTGAGTCAGCTTGCATTTTTTGTTTTCTGATGCCTACTTTTCTTCTGCCTTTGCTTTCTTCTTTCACAGAAACCCCTCTTTTCTTTTTCTCTGCCTTTTCTTTTTCTGCTAATCTTAAACACTTTATCACATATACTTTCTTGTTTTGTTTGTTTGTTTGTTTGTTTTTGAGACAGGGTCTCACTATGTAGTTCAGACTGACCTGGAAGTCCCTATGTAGCCCAGGCTGGTCTCAAACTCACAGTGATCTTCCTGCCTCAGCCTCCCAAGTGCTAGGATTATAGGCATGCACCACCACTCCTGGCTTATCACATATACTTTCATATCACTACCTGGTAAACTGATATAAACTGGTGTCTAATTTCTCACTTTGAACTTTAGACACAATAATTACATCATATGGCTTATATTGTTGGATATATCAATAAATTGACCATGGATTTTTCACTATGTGTTTGATTTTTCTTTCAGTGACTCCATGTAGAATCTTAAGGTCTTTTGTGTTTTGTTTTGTTTATTTTATTGAGTTTATTGGCACTTTTTAAGTATACAGTACAGTTACATTCATCATTGGGCTTTTGTACCTTTACATGACAGGTCTTGGTTCTCATTTTTCCCCTTGTCCCTGCCCTCCCTTCACCCCCTCCTTCCTTCCCTATTTACTTTGTTTCCATTTTTTCCTTTTCTCATATTTTTTCTTTTTCCTTATTTCCTTTCCCCAACCCTTCCCACTTCCTCTACACCTTTAGCCTGTATTTAATTTGCATACAGTTATACAATTTACACTTTTAGTTTTTCACACCAGAGAAACTATGTGGTATTTATACAGGTGAATCTTAAAGTCTGAAGGTAAAAAAATTCTTGCTCCATTTACAAAACCTGGTATATGTTTTTCTAATTAGTAAATATTTATTACTTTTTGCATTTGGGCTCTAGAAAGCTCATATCTAAATTTTATCTATATTATATAAATCTTATCTTGGCCAATTTATTCTTTTTTATATTTTATGAAGTTCCTTATATCTGTATTTCTTATTCTAATGTATATAACAATGATTTATTTTTATGTGTTACTGTATATTGATTATTTTTGCAATGTCACCTGGAACAATTAAATGGATGCAAATTTACTACCCTGGTGCACCTAATAAAAAGAATTTCTATGAAACTCATGAAAAGAAACTGAACCAATCTCCACAGATGGGCATTACATTACTTGGTAATGCTATTTTCTAAAAATTCTATATTTTCAAATTACATTTTTAATGTTGAATGAAAACCTTTTCTTGCTCCCTAGGAGAGTTAGTTCTATTATCGTATGGTGGAAGAAAGTAAACTCAATTTCTTCTCTACAACAGGGCCCTCTGAATATGTCACTAATAGCTCTTCTAGGTATCTGTGTCTCCATCCATGTGCCTATGTGATTTCCAGCCTCCTCTGCCCCAGGTCCATCTCTGTCCGGATGCTCTTTATTGTGATTCTTAATGTTGCCTTCCCAAGAACAGGAGCCAACAGTTCAACAGTGTTTCAACAGTGGAATACGGACACAGTGAGATTTTCTTAATATATCTTAGACATTCAAGACTGGCTTGTTAGTAGTAGGTATGCACTGGTATTTTGAGGGGGAAGCTACCATGTACTTATCTCACATAATGATTTTGTGATGCATGTGCACAGACATTGCCTTTACTTTTCCAGAAAGCTGCTTGGAAGACTTCACCCTACTTCAATAGGCTGATCATTCTCCTTTTACAGCACACCCCTCCATCATCTAAGGTTTTATTCATGCTTATCCTTCATCATGCTTATCCTTCCAGCATGTCCTGAGAAACTGACCTTTAGGGACTGCATCAACTCAGTGCCCACCTCTGGTCTCTAAGTAAGTTCAGCCAGAGGAGACATGAGCAAGAAATAAGTTGGGACAACAGCAATTCTGCTCTTCTATAACTCTGACATCCCTGAGTTGCCTCAAACCTTGAGGTCTTGTGGATCAAGATTCTTCATAACACTTTGTTAATTTCCATACCCCAAGCAAAAAGTCCCTTCTATAAAATTTCCTCCACAAAACCCATTTGAGTGACATCTCTTTTCTAATAGAATTCTCACCAGTGGATTGGATATCATAATACAGGTAAGTGGAAATCAAAGTAAAAAGCACATATAATCATAAGTACATATTCCTCACTATATGTGCACATATAAAATATGAATGATTTTTTTTGGTGCCAATATTTGAGAATTTAGAAACTACTGACACTTCTTGTAGAAAATGAATGAAAGAAAATGAAAAGAAGAAAATAATTCTAGTATCTATCTATTTTATATTTTTCCACTTTTGAAGTACAACCTAAAAAGGGACATATATTTATTTGTTCATGGTGACATGAGAAATGATTAAGATAAAACGTATTTTAGAAAAAAAATGCTAAAAATGGGTTATGTACATGAACATTGAATAAAACCTTACTGGTTAATTCACATGATGCTTTGCTCGTTCACCATCACCAAGAAGATATTTCACTAACTGCAGGAATATTAATTTGTTACAATAAGTACTTTTGGCTTTCTCTACTTTTAAAAAAAGTACACTGAGTCATATATTGTTATCACTCAAAAATAAAATTGTTCTTACATGGAGGTCTTTCAGGTTCTTGAAGTCCCCATCTTTGATTTCAGTTATTTTGTTGTTTTGCAGGTCCAGCAGCGTTGTGTCAGGTGGAAGATCAGTGGGCACTTTGTCCAGACCTAGCATAAGCATAAAGAGAGTACAGTCAGGGAAAAGAGATGCATGGCTACTGCACTGCAGAGAATGGAATCCCAAAGAACTCAATATTACGGTACAGTGGTGCAGATAACATTTTTTCTTCTACGAATTATATCCATTTCAGTATTATATGTTTGCTCTATCCTTTGCAAGGAAGGCAAAAGATAATTTTTGTTTCTAATCATAAACTGAACATGGTATTTTCCCTATGAAAATCCTCATCTACATAGGGGAAAATTTGTACTTTCCATAATACATAGCTCAAGTCTTTCAGTATACAATACGTTTTGCTTCTTTGCTTTGAATATGTGCTCAGTTTGAGTGATGTATAAAGCTGCACATCTCTACATAAATACCTGATCAGTAGAGAAGTACTGTAACAAAGCTATCAGTTATGAGGCTCCCTTTTGATAAATCCACACTGTACACATCATGATGTAACCAAGTTGTGTGACAACAACTTGAGAATTTATCCAGACTTTGGGAGACTGATTCTTTCAGTTTCAATTGGAATGCCAGAACAATGTCAATTTTAACTGATATTTTTCAACAATAAATTGGTAGGCATAACTTCTCTAAAATTAATTTTATGTACAACATTTTTGAATGTAAGATTTATGTCTAATAGAGTTATTGCTTTTAATTCATAAATATAAGCATTGAATAAGCAAGTGCTATTATGATAAAACATTTCATTAATTATTAAACAGGTTTTATTCAAAAGTGGTATTGCTATGAATAAATCATCATGATTGTTAATACAGAATAATGTTAAATGAGACCTTTTTGTCTTCCACTGGCTTTGCTCTTATTTATGTGGGATAGTAAGTGGAAATATACTATTCTATTAAATTAATGTGGTAATTTTTATACTCTAAGATTGCATAGCATACATTTTAAATATGTTTTGATTACATCTGAAATTTTCATCATATCTGAAATTAAATATTTTTTTTCATTTTTTCAGTACTCCTTTGTTACATTACACCTAGGAACAAACAATTTATCAAATGGTGGGAATATGGCAAGAGCAAATCAAAATTACTCCTCATATCTCAAGGAAAACAAAATTCAATCCAAAGTTTCTATTAATAACATCTATAGCAGGGTACCATAACTACTACATTGAAAAATCTTCATTCTCCTTTTGTGTCTTGAAAACATATGCTCTTAAACTGTTCATGGTGGGCATATTTCAATCATCTCTATTTCTTTCATGAAAATTACCTATTCTTTATCTACAATTACTTACTTCTGAGTTTTCTCCAAATATCTTCTTGTTTTCAATATTACTGTTCTGCTGACAGTGGGAAAAGTATCTCGTTCCTAATTTAGGGGCCACTATCTTTATAAATTTCAATATCAAAGAGCAGGTGACTATGAACCAACACCAAATGCTCCATAAATACAGAACTCCCCAAGGAAACAGTTCTCATAGCAATAGCAGGAGCAAAGAGTTTCCAGTGATAAACAGTAAACCACCAGAACAGCTACCTTGTAGGAGGATATTTAATGGCATTATGCAGCCGTAATCACTGCCATTTTCAGAAATGTCAGTTTACTAATTTCATGCAATTAGAGGGAGTGTACTTCTGCCAAATCTTTGATAATTAATGTTATCCAACTCAAAAAAAGACACATTTCCTTTCATTTGGAGTACATTTACTGCCCATATCTCATTATTTCTTCTTGGGTTGTGTGTGGGGGAGGGGTCAAAGTCTTCATATCCATGCACACTTATTTTTATACATTGGTGAATTTGAATTCTAGGGACTTTCTTAACATTTTCTCAAAACCAAAGAACATTTCAGATGTGGAAGAAAAGGATGTGTCTGGGCAGGTAACAATTTTAGTAATGTTTTCATCCCAGAATTTTGTAAAGCTAGAAACTACTTAAGTAGAATAATATACATTTTATTTCAGAAGATTTATTGTAAAAATAACACCTTCACTCTTGTGATTTTTGTAGCTCAGGTCTTGGAGAAATATTTTAATAATTAACATTATAATCATATAACTTTCTCTGAGTTAGTAATCAATTCATGCCCCCTTGTGACATTTATTGATGTTTTATTATTAATAATTTCAATGACCTTAGAGATTACTTGATAAATTAAAAATATATTATTTTGTTCAACTTCTCAACAATTCACGATGACAGGTAAGGCAATTTGATGATTCCCTTTTTCTAGGTGACATTTAGGAAAATTTAGTGACACGAACAAGCTGATGTAGTTAGAAGAGGTAAAATGTGGATAGCAGATAATACTTCCAGTTTCCAACATGCTTTTGCTTTCTTTTGCACTTATCTGTATTTCCAACAAGGACCATTTGGACATTAGACAGGGTAATATGCTATACGTTGAAAATCTGGAAAAAGTGTTATGCTATTAATTAACACATTGAAACAGTACAGGAAGAATTCCATGAGCAAATTACCCCAAGTATGAGTTCTTACAATGTCACAAAGAGAAGGACTCTAATTATGTATGGTTCCCAAATCCTACAGATGCCATAGAAGTATTTTTATCAGAATATATGTAAATAAGAAAAACATAAGGACAATATGTTTAGTTGTAATATAAAGCGACGTTTTTCTGAGACATTGTCTGCCTTTGCTTCCTTTTCTACTTTTACTAGACCTCCTCGGGAAATGATTATGACAGTAGCTAGCAAGCTTTTATTTTCCTAGGCTTGATTTTGAGAATTTTAAGAAACTGACTTGTTCAGCATTCAAAATACTTTTATTTTCCTGAAATCAGGAAACTTCAAAGCTAATCTTGCTTCTTCTAGATAATGAAGCAGAAATCCACAGAAATTAAATGGATAATGCAGCATGCCTCGTGGCTAAGGTAGATCAAGTACCAAGCTGTTCTGAGTCCTCAAAAGTCTGGTACACATTTATATGTGTGGCCACTGCATACACTTTTAAAAATGCTTATCTACAGCTGTCCTTTGAGTACATTGCACTCTTTCCTAGCCACTCATCTTTCTTCATACGATGGACATTTTATGGAAAATCCGCTGCCTTTTTTACTACTCCCACCCTAACAATCCCTTAAAATTTACTGATATCCCCCTCCTGTATAAATCTTCAAACTTGACATATCAGAGGTCACTATGGATTGCAGACCTATATACTTAGGGCATCCCATCTTGTGTTTCTACAGTTTCTGGATAGGGAAAGACAAATGATTGTTTTCCACCGGTGCTTTTCTGGCTCCTTTCATTCATATTTGTTTTTTCTGACTGATTAAAGACCAGGCCTTCCTGCTGTCTTGTGGTGGAAACTTCACACCATGGCTTTGAGATCGTTTCTGCCATGTATCGAAATAGCATTGCTATGCATTCTGCTTTCAGAGGAATCATTCCTCTCTCAGAAGTGCAGTATCTTCGTTCACCAACTTAATTCGTTCCACATTCTAGGGACGATGGCCACATTTGTGTTCCTAACCCAAAACAGAGTTCTCCATCAGAAGCAAAATTTTGCCAAATGCTTCTGTTTGCAAGCAGAATTGTTTGTGAAGAGGAGCTTTTATGAACCAAGGTATTACTGTGTTAGGATAAAACGGATGACTGTGGACATAATGTTTTCTATTCCAAATTTTCGAATGAGTTCTACCATCAAATATGTCATTCCTATTATGGGTGTCTGAAGTTGCCCTTACTTTCTTCATCTCTGACATATTTTTGAAACACCTTTTTGCACATATATATCTGAAGAAGGCTGCTTTATCTATCCTCTATGGTGACAGATTCATAGTTATAATTTATTTTCATGATACCTATTTATCTTAGGAAAGGATCACAGATATGCCTCTGGATGAAAAACAAATTTTCATTCATGGATTTGTATTGTCAAAAATGAACACACAAACAACCAATTCGAAAGAGCGTGCTAAAGGTCACTAAAGAGATAGCTCCATCAACAATCTCAAAGTTTTTGACAAATACATTTCTAAAGAAAATAAAGAACTGTTCGCGAAACTGCAGTCTGAAACAAACTGAAGATCCATTTTTAAAAAATGCAACATAGGCTAAGAGTACAGAGTATGTGTTTATTATTCACAAAGTTCAATTCCTAGACCCTCACCCTTGCCAAAAAAAGCAAGGATATGAACTGCATTTGGATCTTGATTCATATAAGCACACTGTAAAATAAACATTTATAATATTTTAAATGATTACAAATGTGTATATAATGTGACTAATTCTAAGAAATTACTGTTAAAGTTTGAATCAATCATCATTATTCTATCAAAGGTTTTATTTTTTCATAAAATATATTTACACATGGTTGGATAAAATAGTGTTAACTGGAATTTGTTTCAAAATGATATGGAAGAAGAAATGCGGGAGGGGACATATAGAAAAATCAGGACATTAATTGACACTTGTCAAAGCTCTGTGCTGTAGAATTTGGAGTTTTTCACAGCTACTTTTTATGAGTTTGTTATGTCAGTGAAAATCCTGTTTCCTCCTCTTGATCCTTGATATCATAAAGCAGTTACTTAAGCTATTTGTGCTTCTGTTTTCTTATAGAATTTTTGTGAAAACTAATAAGCTCTACTACAAAGTAACCATCTGCTGTATTGCAAAGAAGGATCTCAGATACTACTACCTATGGTTATTATCAGTAGGAAAAGAAAGTGTAGAGCACTAGCCATGCTGCTGAGTGTTATCTGCAAGTCTCTTCTCCTCTGTGCCACCATGAGGCTTTTATCTTGGAGTCTGAAATTTGTTTTCATGTGTGACAAACACAGATATTTCATCTAAAGATCTTCATCTCTGGTTGATTATTATTTTAATTATTATTTTGTCACAAAATTTCCTGGCGTTTCATTCATCTTTGTTTCCTGAAACACCAGGCCATTGGAGAATAGGTCCACAGTGCTCCATCTTTGGATAAGAAATCTTCAGATCAGTTAGCATAAGTTTCCCAACAAGTCCAAAGGCCTCCAAAAAGTTGGTTCTAGTCAAC